ACGTTGATCCGCAGCGGAGTAGCGGTGTCCTGCGGCGACTGCAGCAGCAGCAGCGGGACGAGCGACATCACGGAGCCGGGGTCGCCGTGTAGCACGAGCAGCGACGAGGGAGTGGCGAGCCTGGGGGCAGCCCCGAGTCCACTTCCCCCGCTGGGCAAGCTGGCGCCGCCGACCGGGCCCGGGCCCAGGCCCCAGTGGCCTTGGACCCCACCCCTGGCCGCCACGGCCTGCTCCACCTACAAGCGGTTCAAGGGCGAGCCCGAGGCCGGCACCCTGCCCAGGGCCGGCGCCGCCGACCCCAGCGCCCGCGCCCCCAAGACCCTCCCCAAGGCCCACCCTAAGGCCCACGAGACCCAGGGGAAGATCACCGAGTATTTCAAGGCGCAGATAAAGCCGCAGCAGCCCAAGGTACCGATCGTCACCTAAATCTTCAACTTTTACCCCTCTGGAAGGGTCTCATCTCAAGGTGTCATGAAAGGGTCATTCCATACATGTATTTAAAAAACGAGAAAAATATATTTACAAAGCTTATTTCCACACAGGCGCACCGAGTAACTTCAAGCTTCCGTCCGTGATCACGAGGGTCCTAAGGAAGAACTCGATGCTCGTGTAATTTTATTTTTCAAAGAAGAATTTTTCATTTATCCCCGACGGGAACCAAAAGTCACGTATTTTTGTTAGAAAAAAAATATATATATATATCTTAAGAGCATCGCGTTCTTTCTTAGGGTCTGCATGATCGCGGGTTGAAGTTTCAAATTATTCGGTGCACTCAGTTCGGAGGAACGCTTCGTAAACGCGACCTCTTTGACGCCGCTTTCACATCACCTTAACCCTTTGACTACGGAACCTTTTCGACGTATGGGCGAAATTCATCGATGCGTGCAGGCAACATTGAACCGAACGTCGGACGTCTTTAGGCGCGTTTGGTAACCAAAGGGTTAACATATTTCGTCCTAGATCAGTAAATCATCGATTTTCGTTATCAGACAAAGAAGGCCAGCGACATGTCCGTCCTGGTTGCGAAGACGTCCCCGGAGTTCCGGCGACCACCGACGGTGCAAAGGAACAAGGGCGGCCTGGCCAAGTACCTGGGCACGGTGTCGCCCTCCAACGGCAGACCCAGCGACTGGGAGGTGAGGACCTTGACGATGTCGCCGCCGCCCTTGAAGAATCAGCAGCCTCCCGCGGTAGCGCCCAGGGTGAACGGGAAGCTGGACAAGGTGTCGAAGCCGGTGCCGAGTCTGCCCATCTCGAATGACGTGCTGATGACCTTGCCGACCTGCAAGATATCGTCGTTGAGGCTGCCGTCCACGGAGGCGAGCCCCAGTGTCAAGGGCAGCCCGCCGCCGACCGCAACGGCTGCCTCCCTGACGGCAGAGCCTCTGACGGCGGACTTCGGAGACAGCGTCCTGGTTAAGGTGAAGCGAAACCCCCCTTAAATCGGGAAGAGGAATTTTACTCGGAACTGAAATCACAGATGGCGCAGTCAATTAAAGCATAAAAAACTAGTCTTTTTACATTCTGAAGAATTGAAAATTCCAGTAATATTACCAAGGATATTGCGGTAATTTAAGAATCCTTACAGAACTTTGATAACTTAGAGGATCTATATTTAAATCACCTTCTAAAGGTAACTCGATACATTTACATAAATAATATTCACAAAATCAAGGTACTTTCTAGCCGACAATGATGTCACTCCAATTTGCGATTACGTTCTTGCTTGCGACGACTCTTCATTTCCGCAGTTTCTGTTTCCACTCTTTTCTCAAGGATATAGAAAAGTTTAACGTGTTTCGTTTCACCTCAAGCCCGTCGTCAACGAGAACAACAACCTGACGGCCGCTTTGCTGACCTCGAGGACACCGACGAACCCTTTCTTCAGGCTTTTCTCCCTACCGGAGGCCGTCACCAGGGTTAAGGGTGTCCCAAAGGACGACGAGGACGACGAAGAGGAGGAAGAGGAGACCAAACCCCCGTCGCCCCCTATATTGTCCACCCCGACTACCATCAGATTCCCGGCTCAGGCCCGCGAAAAGCACCGGTCCCAGACAAGCGACAGCGGGATCTGCCGGTGGGACAAGTGCGAGGCCAGCTTCGAGTCCAGCAGCGGACTTCTCGAGCACTTGCAGGTTAGGATTTCTTGCCAAACCGCGCCACCAACAGACCGGCGAATATCTCGAGAAGCACGCGACCCAACCATGAATTTCTGTATTTCTACGCATAGATATTTCTTTCATTAAGGTGAAGTGAAACCCCCAACTCAAATCAGTCGATTTCAATCACATCGGTAACGTAGATATTTAGAAAAATCTTCATGCCGTCGATCAAGTTCCTCGACGTGTTTCACTTCGCCTTAAGGTGAAGTGAAACATCCTTCAAATCAGTCGATTCGAATACAACACTTTTTTTAAGGGTATTAGACCAAACTGTCCGAAACTTTGATACATCACTCCTGATCATCTAAGAATTGTCCTGACACATTCAAAATTTGGATTTTTTAACAGAATTTTTTAACTCAGCCCAGACCAGAACCAAAATGGCGTCGAGCTCTCATATTTCGATCAGTATATAATTATCGAAGGCTCTGATATGAGAATCGAAAAGGGTCAGGACAATTTTACGACAATTTAGAACACTTTGATAGTCGATAAACTCACATTTAAACGGGATAAGGGCAAAAAAAGTGTTGTATACGCTTCTATGCTAAAACGATGGTAATACGAGGTCTCGGAGTGAAAATTTAATTAACCTAGAAATCACAGATGGCGCAGGGGGTCCCTCTGCAGTCGATTAGGGCCCCAGAAAGCATGAATTCAGAGGATTTGTGGAGTTTTACTTCGATTTCTTGATATTTATTGTACGAAAACGACAGGCAGTGTATGCCATTTGGTACAATACCCAATATAATTCGGTATAGCTGTCGATATAAAAACGAACGTCGTCCACGTAGGCATTTAGAAAAATCTTCTTTATCGACGTTGATCAAGTTCCTCGACGTGTTTCACTTCACCTTAAGGTGATACGAAAAGGTCATTCTACATATATAAACCGCGAAAATATTTATAAAACTTTTCTCCGAACTGAGTGTACCGAATCGTGTCAAGCTTTACAAAGCAAATGTAAACGCTACAAGAAAGGTCTTGACTCTCATGAAATTTCACTATTTATAACAAATTTTTAAAATACCTATGGAAGAATTTTTATCAAATTGAAGTTTCATTACTTCAAGGACCTTCCTTATACCCTCCGTATTTATATTGTCAAGTTTGAAACGATTCGGTGTACTCAGTTTGGAGAAAAGTTTCACAAACGAGACCACTTTCACATCACCTTAAGTGCCAGTTAAAATTATTAAAATTGAGAAAGGTTTCGATAGAAATATCCAGTTCGGCGAAAAGTCGGAAATCGGTAAAGAGCGCAAATTAATGAGTATACATTTTTCAGGCTGCCCACATCAATACGCAGACTGGAGGCGACAACTTCATCTGCCATTGGCAAGGCTGCAAGGTTCAAGGGAGGACGTCCTGTTCCAGGAGATGGCTGGAGAGGCACGTCCTGTCGCATGGTGGAAACAAGCCCTTCCGCTGCATCGTCGACGGCTGCGGCAGTAGATTTAGCTCGCAGGTATACCAAGTTCCGCGATCCCTCCCTGGACTCGAAGGATGTTATCCGCAAAGAGGATCATCCTTAAAGGATCATCCCAGAGGATCGTCCGGGATGATCCTGCGAAAGCCCGTCCCATGTCCTAGGTCCTCGATTGACCAGGCTCTATTGATTGCCCGATGACGAGCGATGATACGTCTTTCCGCGAGGCTGCGCTTCTTCCCGACAAAATGGCCGAATTCTGCAATATATAATTAAATGACATTCGTTCTTCGTACTCATCCCCGAAGAAACGCGAATGGTTCCTTGGAGTCGACCTTCCTAACGCCGTCGATTGTTCCAGAGAATTTATTTTCAAATTTCTCAACAAGCCAGAGACTGAAAAAAGACTCTCTTGTCTTTATCGTTTGTCCGGCCTTTCCAGCGTTGTCGGGTTCCACGTTCGTTTAAGGCGGTACGAAACTGGCATCCGAGGGCTCAGTCGTTTGTGACACTTTTCTCCAAACTGGGCATACCTAATCGTTTCGGACTTTACAAGCTGAATATGGAGGCTGTAAGGAAGGTCCCGACACCCTTAAAATTTCATTTTTTATAAAAAAAAATGTTGAAAATGTCTATGAACAATTTCTTTCTTTTTTATTGAAATTTCATTAGTGTCAAGACCTCCCTTACAGCCTCCATTTTCACAAGATACAATTTTTAAATTCGGTACATCCAGTTCGGGGAAAAGTACCATAGACGAGACCTACGGCGTCGCTTTAAAATCACCTTAAGGGAGCTCATATCCATTGGCGGCATCGGAAATACATGTTTCCGTTAGGGAAGGTATGAGCTTCTTTTTCGGCCATTTTGTCGGAGAAATTCGCAGTTCGACGATCCTCAGCCTCGATGGGAGTCATCCAGCGAAGGTCCAGTATAACAAAGTGGCGGTCCCGTCCAAGACCATTATCCATCTTCATGGAAGGAACAAAAAAAAAAAGAAAATGCGAATGGCACTCGCCTTATCTGCCGGGATCGCTGATCGTCCAGATTCTTCGCCCTCCCATAGAACTTTACATCCAATACGCCGATTTCCTCCAATTAACCGCTTGTCACTCGGGATCCATGCAATAACGAATGCGTAGTACCGTGTCCGACAGCAAGACCCCGGCTCGGATGACGTCTTCTCATTGTCTTATCGCTTCCTACTCGAATGCGGCTAATCACTTTCCATACGTATCGTTTTGCAACCTGGTGTATCGCTTTAGCGCGCTACATGCGAACCGGATCGCTCGTTGCCGACCTGATGTCATTTGCGAAATGTGCTTCTCGTATCTTTGCCACAATCTGTCGGCGAGCTAGGCGGGTCGTTTGCATACGTTTGTCTTGCCGCGATTTCCTTTGCACTCTCATTTTAAGGGCATGCAAAAGTGGCACCTGGGGGCGTCGATCCTCCGTGAGACTTTTCTCCATGCCGGTTGCACCGAGTCGTTTCACAATTTACAACGTGAATATGGAGGCCGTAACGAAGGTCCGACACTCGTGAAACTATTTTTTATGCAAAGGGAAGAATGTAAAAGATGTCTGTAAAGAAATTATCGATTAAAAAATTGAAATTCCATGGCTGTCGGTACCTTCGTTGTAGCCTCCAGCTTCGCCCTTGTGAACTTTGAGGCGATTCGGTACACCCAGGTCGGGGAGGTTTCATGAACGAGGCCTCTTTTTCGCCACTTCCACGAAGCCTTGATCTCTTTATAAGATGCGGGGACCAGACGCAGGTCCTTCGCTAGACGACTCATCGCCGAGGAAGTACAACATCGCTTTTCATGAGACCGACACGTTAGAGATTATGGAACGACATTTTGGACACAATGGAACGCCGCCGAGTTGTCAGGAGATCCAAATAGGACCTCTTCAGGATATGGCCATGATAACGCCATCTCCAAAAAAGAAAAGTGGAAAAGATAAAGAACAAGTGTTACCCCAAGCCGTATCGTTTCATTTTCTCGTCGAGGCTCTCGTTTCAGGAACTTCCTGGGATCTTCGACATCCTGCTTGGCTTTTGCCAAGCGCCTTCCTTCCTCGATCATGTTTACTTGCCAATGGACGATTAATCCGCTTCCGGATATCCGGCGATGATCACTCCTAGGAGCAAGGATCGCCCATCGGCAAATGTCGCTCATCCGAGACACTTTATCCAAGCGATGATCAGGGCTGTAAGAAAAGTTCAATTGAAACCTCTGCCTCTTCGCAACCTCGAGGGGGAATTTCTGTCACCCGAGGAAGAAGGCCATTTTTAAATTCTCATCTCAGTTCATCTCAGATCTTCAAGTTTCCATTTGAAAGTCACTTAGGAGATCAGGATTGGTGTCCGAAAAAAAAAAGTCCCTACGAGATCCAAACTCCTTTACCGAGTGAAAAAGTCACTTTCTAGAAAGAGAACAGAAAAAGAGGAATTCCTGGGGAAAGCAGATTCTATCAACAATGCAAGTTCAACAAATAATCGAGCTAAGTTAAAGCGAATTACAGGCGGGGCTCAATTTTCATAAATTCGACCACTTGAAAAAGTGAACGACCTTGGAAGAATTAATAACATTACGGCAACGAACTGTAATTTAATAGAATTATCAGTTTGCCTGTTCATCCCTCGCCGTGGTTCCGGTCACAGCACTCATGATATTTTATACAATCAATGTTCTAGTACATAATGAAATTTCGCTAACAAGAAATGTGTAGATCGCGACAAGTAATTAATCCCACTCAGAGAGTTAATTTTTCGCTCATTATTCCACATGAGAAAAAAAAAAAGTCCTCTACCTGTTGGACGGTCCCGGGACGAGACGCCATTTAATTGGAGCGCACCTTATCGACGATATGAACAATTAGTTTTTGTAACATAACCTATACTGTGCCGCTCTTCCCAAAGCTCCGACGAAGTTGGACGTTGATTATCAATCTCGTATCTTTTCCCAATTTCCAAGACGTCGGGTAATGTATTTTACTTTGCGAAGCAGGATCGAGAACCCCGTTCCATCTGTGTCAATGAACAAAGAACCGAACAAAAAGAAAAAAACAAGTCAAAAGAGCCCGTGGCCATTTTGGGGACATTCGAAAACCGACCCGTCAGGTCGCGCTTCGATCAGCTGGACATCAACGAGGCTCTTCGAGCAGATCGCGACCGTAAAACTACCATAAAACTACCATAAGACCTACCATTATACTAGCTGGTTAAAATGTAGACTATTTTCCACGGCAAGGCACCTTGCGGTGACAAGTTTCGAAAGAGAGAGAGAAAAAAAAATGTATCGGTCGGTTGGACCTACTCTAGGTGAGAATTCAAAATGGCCGACATTTCCGGTGTAAACACCGATGGACGCGCAGGATAGAAACAGGCTTCTTACTAGTCGATCCCAGTCTCTAGCAGTTCATCAGTACTTTGGCCAACTATCACTTGGTAGGGAGATCTCGAGTTCTAATTCGTCGGGGACGCCTTTCGAGGTCGTCTTCAATGTTAGGTCTGGTCAGGCAACGTCTGATCGAAATGGCACTTTCCAGAGACGGCCGAAGCCACGCAACTTCCGCGGAATTGTTTTTCCCGCGGTCGCTCGTTAGGACGCCTTCTTCAAGGTGACACCTCGGCTTCTTGTCGATTCGTTTCCACGGAGAAACGTCGAGTCTTAGTCGTTACCTCTTAGTCTTGCCAGGACGATAGAACCGCAAAAGTCCCTGTAGATTGACCGTTGATGTCCCGACACTACCGGAAGAGGCTCTCCCTGGAAGGTGCCCGGAAGCATGAGATAACCCAAACATCTGGTGATTTACAGACCGCCCTAGAGAGGCACGTTAATGGACACTTCAATCAACCCGAGACGAGTAGCAGTTCCAGTAGAAGGAGCTGCGAAAATGGCGGAAAACTGGTGCGGAGGAATGGCAAGAGGCTTCGGTACAGGAGGCAGCCTTGGTCCGGTTGGTATTCTTTTACCTATTTTATACAAATTTCGTTTAACCTTTCCGTCAGAATGTCCGTTACCTCTTCTATCAGAATTTCCTTTACCTCTTTGATCAAAATTTCTTGTACCTCTTCCACCAGAATTTCTTTCGGTACATTGTCAAGCTACGATCGAGTCTTTGAAGATGTGGAATTCTAAAAAGAAGAAAGAGGAATTAATGCTTATAGACGGAGGTTATTTTTTACTTCTCTGAGTTCAATATCTAAAGAGCATTGTCGTCGAGGTTGATCTCGATATCTCGATGATTAGTTCAGGTTGACGGTGAATTATAAATACGTAGATCTTACTTTTGGGATGTCTTTATCCAAGGACGAAACTGAAGCTCGCTTCGGAAAAGACGTGTCCTGGTGTCATCTGCTGTCTCGAAGAATCCTTGTCGAAGAACGACTCGCACCTTCGACAGGGCCGCCATCGTCGATATAAGAATTTGGTATTTCGTTTACAGCGAGGCTCTTCGACTATTTCGACACTGGAGTCATGGAGGGCCTTCAACATCGACTGCTTGAATTGGCAAAGACGAGGACACAAGGACGCCTTGCAGAGACTCCAGGGAACTCGATGACCCTAACTAGTCAAGTAAGTGTTCGGCACACATATTATTATATCTGATACTAATCGATGCACAATTTAACCCTTAGCGCTCTGTAAGTTTCGTAACATTATGACGAATGTCTCCATAGCGGAGCCAACGGAGCGCTAAGGGTTAATTTAATTTTTACCTATGTAAGAATGTTTAAATTAATATTCCTTCGGTTCAGTGTTATGCCAATTCCCAGCGAATCGGATGACTTGCAAGGATTTCATATAAACGCAAATCTTCTGGAACGTCCTTCGAACTTGATCTTCCCTCCAGTTCCTTCGCTTCGGTGCAGATCCTAAAGTAGCTTTGTAATTCATTCCAATACACCTTAAAAATTATATGAATAAAATACCCTTAGACAATCTCTTCTTGCCACAAAATGATTTTTTAGTTGGTCAATTCGTTCTCCAGCGATTCAGATATCAGACATTTACCTGATTTCTTAGTAAAAATATTCATGGTAAAAGGGGAACTATTTCAAAACTTCATCCATCTACTATATGGTAAGATTCATTGTCCAATTTTACCAAATGCCTAATAATTATTTCAAAGACACATTTCAGTCTAAATACTTTGATATTTTCTTGAATTTAATGCACAATGTCTTCTCTATGTTAAAGGTTTTAGCACGAAGAGTAGAACTGGACGGAAAGACTAGAGTGCTGCTGCGGTGGTACCCCCAGGACATGTAAGTACCAATCAATTTTTATAAATTTCTGAAGAGACGGAATTTCAGAATCGCCCCACAGGTGAAGTTCGAAGCGTAAGGGTGAGGAAGAACAGCCTCTATCTTATCCTGCTAGTGATCATATTTTTTTTTTACATGAAAATACAAATAGTTTCAAGTGAAATAGTGTTTTACTCCATTTATAGGAACCTCAAAATTGCAAGTAACAGTACCAGTTACGTTTGTACTTAAAATTGTTTTTACTTCCCTTTAAACCACGTGATCACTAGCAGGACAAGATGGCTGCCGCTATTGCTTCTCCACGTTTTGGGCTTCACTTCGAGCGTTTTCCATCTCTTCATGGATCTCACGTAATCGATAATCTTGTAAAATAGTTTAATTAAAACCTTCCATTTCTTCCGGCAGCGCCCCCGACGAGTGGGTCCTGGAATCGCAAGTACAAAGCACGAAGCACGTGGGTATCCGTAAGGTAGCCTCGTCGCGCCCCGAAGAGGTTAGCTTGGCGCTGTACCCGGCGATCAATGGCGGCGCGCCGCCCGCCACCCGGACGAAGCAGCGCCGAAAACCGGCGAAGAACTCGTGATGAAACCGTTAATCGGCGAACGAGTCTTTGACGAGTACTCGAGGGATCCCGGGACGCGCCGAGCCGAGGACCGAGCAGCGTTGGACGACGCCGTCGAGGGAGCGCCAAAGTCGCCGAATCGTCGGGCGCCGCCGCCATCTTGAAAACGCGATCGCAAGAGCCGCCGAAAGAGGAGCAACGAGGAGCGAAATAACTGACCGACCAAGAACAAGCACCGAAGAACCGCAGAAACCTTACGCGAAAAGTAGAACCGCGAAAACTGACAAGATCCCCGGAGGACCAGGCGACGAAGAGGTTAGCTTAGAGCGGAGGGACGAGGGCAGACCAATCCGACAACTGGCTGCCGAGTAGTCTTTATTTATTTAGCCTAATCTACCTGTGCAACGAGGTTAGGGACAGGAGGCGGACGGTTGGAAGGCGAGATTTTGGCCTGCGTCGGGTAACGCCATTGCCCGAGAATTTTCCCGAATTTTTCAAGCCGAAAATCGACACCTGCAACTCGACATTCACGAGAGATAGGTAAAATACCTGGAAGTTCTCTCGATAGGGTCTGATAAGGGAATTAAGGTCGTTCAATCTTTCGCTGCGTCCGACTGACTGACGATCTTTATGTCGATTAGGTTGTCAGGATTTCTGACACGGTGACGTCCACTTAGTTTTAAAAATGATCTTTTGAGGGATTCTTGTGAATTCTTGCTACAAAAGAGGGTGACGTTTCATCGTTTCATTACTTTGGATGCTATCGAGAGGATGATTTACTTTGGGGTTACTTTAGTGAGAGAACGTTTAATCTGTCCTGGAGGTGAGGTGACGGTTCTTTCCATCCTATCAAAGTTAATATCAAGGAGTTCATATTATCATCTAAGAACACCTTAAGGGAATTTGAAAGTGCCAACTGAGGTGTCGATCGTTTACAACCCTCTTCTCCGACCTGGGTGTACCGAATCATTTGAACTTCTATCACTCGAATATGGAAGCCCTGAAGAAGGTTTCTCCACTCGTGATATTTCATTTTTTATAAAAAAAAGAGAGAAAAATGTTATAAACAAACTTTAAAAAATAAAATTCTACGGGTACCGGAACTTTCGTGGGATTTCCAGATTCACGTAGTAAAATATCAACGATTCAGTACAAACAATTCCGAGAAAAATTTTGTAGACAATTGACCTTTCGGATGACACCTTTGTACCACTTTAAAATGAATGACTGTGGTTTCCACTACGGGTTACCACATTTCATCGATTCATATTTCTTTTTAGAACGAACTGGTTGTTTTTTCGCTGGAAATTTTTAATCGGTATCGGTTAGAATGATATATGTGATTTCTCACTAAAGAGACACCATTTTATGTGCGATCTCGCCATGGTTGCCAACTCGCCGATCCGGAGATGCACTGGGTTCGACCAAAAGTGCCTCATCGCGGATGTCTCTCCCGCTAACCGACAAGGAGAGGGCAAGGAGGTTAGGATGAGGGTGACAAAAGGAGAGATCTTATATGATTAACCGATTAACTGTTAAATGTTAGCTACGATTATAAGGAGATAATCACTCTGGTGGCCTTAGAAATCAATTAATATCTAACATCGGTTTTGGTGCCTCCGATCGGTATGTGGAAAACTGGATTTCAAGGTGCGTTGCTTCAGCTACCGTGAGTATCGTTAACTATTGTTAATACTCCACATAGCGAGTATTTCCATTTCTATGGTGAACAAATATTAAAACGATCGATAAACTCATCAATAGAATATTAATTATAAATTCAGGCACGAAAGGGTCTTCGCTGTGATATATTATCTCATATTTTCGGATGAGCATAGAATGGAATATCTTTTGTCTCGAGGCTACAAAAATACACATTCAGCAGCACAACAACGTTTATCGTTGCAGTACACATGAAGTATGTAAGAAAATTTTATACAAACTTGGGAGCTCCATGTTACATTACATTAGATTATTAATGTATTTTTACTCGTTAATAATAGCACGCGCTATATCTTTCGTAGTGACTCGCGTATACCGTAATTTTATACCGCAATTTCGCATTTACGCCACAGAATGCGGTAATTCCTGACTGTAATGTGTGAAATATATTTCCGGACCAATTTGAGACAAAAGATGTGACCTGGCCAAAAAGTCTTGCGATAGTAACTACAATTATGAAGTTCACTTTCATTTACTGAATTACAACTTCGATCGATGACAATAATCTCCATTCCTGCGACCAATGCCCATCTATCGAGTAGTTCATCGATGACAGTTTGCAAGATTTAAAAAACTATTATGGATGAAAATATAAAATGCAGAACTTTTTAGCCTTCGTCTAATCTCCTCCGAATAATTTCTCTCTCTTTCGTGGCCTCTTCATTCCGAATTAAGGAGATGTGAAAATGACATCCGAGGGGTTAATCAAATGATACTTTTCTCTGAACAGGGTGTATCGAATCGTTTCAAACTTTGCGCCGTGAATATGTAGGCTATAAGGAACGTCCGGACACTCGTGAGATGTTAAAAATGTTAAACTGCCTATAAACAAATTAAAAAAAAGAAATGTCACGGGTGTCGTGATGTTTTTAATGGTCTTTATGTTCATGTGTAACGTCTCAAACGGCTCGGTACACCCAGTTCGAAGAAGTTTCGTAAACGAGACTTTCTGTGACGTTACTTTCACGTCGTCTTAAGGCCGAAATGTACCTTTTTCAGATATTACGGATGACCAATGACAATTGCGATAGCTACTCGAACGCGACTTGGGGTTCTTTTTCTCACGTAGGGGTGACACCTTTTCCACCCCCGGGTGGGGCAAGCCATGGCGGAATCTCGCGTCTCGTGCCTTCCGACCTTCGACCTCGCGCGGTTTCATGAGGAAGAGCTACCTTGACCTTCGCTCGGTCACGGGAACAACTTGCCCGCTCCCGTGCGACCTGAGCAAGCAACAAAAAGAGCTAATCTATCAGGGCTTCGTGTTTCCAGCTTGATATTTCCCCTAAAGGGGTTGACAGTCTCCAGGCTGGACCGCACTGATAAAAATCTATGGAAATTTACGTACACTTTTTAATCATAACCGATGTTTCATGTAGAAACGGCGTAAAGTGAATAAATTGACAAATTGGAAAATTTATAAATACACTTAACGTTGGGTGTTCACCGTATTAGTGGATTTTTACTTGAATTAAATGTAACGTTATGTTAAGATTTTCATCAGTCTAACTTGCTGATTTTACAGAGATACGTGTTATTTTATCGCAATTTATTGCCCCATCTAAATTACCAGTTGAGTATGTAAATTTGCATGGGCAGTTTTATCAGTGTTCATTAGCTCTGTACAAGATTTGTAGAGGATGAAGAAAAAAAAAAAAATGAAAAAGATGATAATGCTCCGCAGGTTCGTCTCCGTGCTCGGTTTTAGAAAACCGGGCAGGGGGACGCCGCGTGAACCTGCTGCGATATTTTTCGGGAAAAAAAAAACCTATTTTTGAGTTCCTCTTTTCTGCTGAGTAGCGTGTACCGTGGTGTGCGAACTCCTTCCCTAATGAATATTAATGATAGCGGGATTTTTGGGACCCTTCGCTCATTTTTTTTTTTTTTTTTTCTTACCTCGGAACTGTAATATCTTCATCCCATGAAATTGTACATTATTTGAGAAAAATAGCGAAATTGACTCCCTGAATTTGTATTCCATGTCCATAGACTCAAATCGCTTTTGGACGATTGATCTACCCTTGACGCGGTTTTGATCTTCTGCCAAGAAATTCGTTTGAAAAGACGTATTTTGGCGCCATGAGACTGAGTGTCGCGCCAAGTTCACATTCAACCGCTCGCTGCTGTTTTTATGTATATTTTGAAATTTATTTCAATACTTGCTAGCACGTTTTTACCCTCCTACCAAGAAATTCGTTTGAAAAGACATATTATGGCGCCATGAGACTGAGTGTCACACCAAGTTCACATTCAACCGCTCGCTGCTGTTTTTATGTATATTTTGAAATTTATTTCAATACTTGCTAGCACGTTTTTACTCTCCTACCAAGAAATTCGTTTGGAAAGTCATATTTTGGCGCCATGAGACTGAGTGTCGCGCCAAGTTCACATTCAACCGCTCACGGCTGTTTTTATGTATATTTTGAAATTTATTTCAATACTTGCTAGCACGTTTTTACGCTCCTACCAAGAAATTCGTTTGAAAAGACATATTATGGCGCTATGAGACTGAGTGTCGCGCCAAGTTCACATTCAACCGCTCGCTGCTGTTTTTATGTATATTTTGAAATTGATTTGAATACTTGCTAGCACGTTTTTACCCTCCTACCAAGAAATTCGTTTGAAAAGACATATTTTGGCGCCATGAGACTGAGTGTCGCGCCAAGTTCACATTCACCCTCTCGCTGCTGTTCTTATGTATATTTTGAAATACCGTTCGGTACTTGCTGACGCGTTTTTAAGTATTCTTATCCATATTGCGGTCTAATATTTCGATTTCCGCAGTATCGGTCACAATAGTTATGCACGAAAGTCTGGAAATCCCGGGTAAAATTCGTGATCGTCATTTTCAATTTCTAGAACCACTCCTGGTGTTGTAGAGTTTAGGCACCGTCGATCTTAACCTCGAAAGACCATGGAATCGTAATTTAAATATCGCCGTAGCGAAAGGGTTAGTCTAAACTAACCTGACCTACCCTAACCTACCCGCGGATCGGGAAAACTCGGTAGAGTTTCGCGCCAAGTACATTTAAAAGCATGCGCGAACGGCACCGAAAACTGAACGCCAATGTTCGGCGGTTCATTTCGATAAATATTTATTTCTCATGGACCCACGTTTGGCATAATGAATGTACGTTCCGTTTTGTAGAGTCTGTAATTTCTTTCAGATTTTTAAAGACACCTTTTTTTTCTTTTTTCTTTTTTTTACCCCGTTTTCGGCGATTTTTCCAAAAATCTCGGAAGAAAAGGGATGCCTATCGATGCTTAGAAATATTCTATTAGGCGTAATCGCGCACCACGTTCCACGTCGCCATAACCGACGAGCTGTTACCCTCGACAAGGGTGAAATAAAAAGGCTGTGTTAAATCGTTTACCACTTGCGCAACCTTGCGAGATGTAAGCTCGAGGAGTGGGTACCCATTAATCCTAGACAGAAGTGGATATGTATTATCGGTAATCATTGTATCCGAGCACGTGGGGAGCTTCGTCGAAGGTCTGTGTCGTGTTCCCGTCGAAGCGAGTCCACGTCCGGGAACGTGATATGTTCATGTAGTTGATAAATACCTGTAAATTAAGCCGGATATCGGCGGCGATGGATACGGTCGCCCCGTTTAAGTTAAGGGATCGAGAAAATATGAAAATTAATATGAGAGAGACGTCGCGAGTGTGGCCGAATATGTGTGAGCGACGACTCGTATATGGGGAAAGAACAAGGACGAGGGCTGGAAGGGCCTCGGCACATACACACACACACCAGCTATGGTACACTGCCAATACGTGTAATTAAGATGAATCCTAGGCTAATTATTGATTACTACGATTTATTGTATAATCCCCTTAGATCTCTAGATGTCGAGCTAGCGAGGCGGCGCGCGCACGCCGGGGTCTCTTTACTCGAGTTATGCCTCTTTCTTCTCCTCTTTCTCTATATATCTTTCCCTCGTTAATCTACCCCTGTACACTTTTCGATATCCTCTCGACTATTCTGGGTCGATTAGAGGAGGAGATGGAGACTTTTCGAAAGATTCCACCCCGGCGAGGGCGCGCTTCGCCATACATATTGTATATAGTTAGGCGGAATTATCGGCGAGCCCGCGTGATTTCTAAGCATGTCGATGAGATATGGGAACACGGACGATCCTTGTTCAATTATTATCACGGAATTGTCGGGCTAGATTATCGAGATGATTTCTTTTTTGTTTTTACGGGAATTTATTTCTCCCGGAAATCATTTATTCATGTTTAAATTCCAGATTCATTCTGAATTCATTCCACTGAGCTGACTCTTTTGGCCGAGACTTTTTGTAAATTAATCAGTAATTATTCTTTATTAATTAGTGGTTGAGTGCGGACGGGTGGAGGGAGTCTTTGAAGAGTTTCGAGATGTGATGTGGGAGGTTCACGAGTTTTTGGAATTTATCCTGGGCTTCTTTTTTGAGGTGGGAGGATCGTTTCGGTTCCCTTTCCAGACGTGCACAGGTGCGAGGGCCTATAGCGTAATCGTGCAACCTTTATCCTTATAAGAGAGCCTTTTCTCCTTTTGAGAAATCCGGGCAAGAGAGATTTATAGGACGCGTGTGTGTGTGTTTCAGGGTGAACGATGTGTGATTGGTAGAAATTTAACGGGGAGAAATTTGAGGGGAATATCGATATCGTTTACGTCTGACGCTTTCGCTAAAGTTGTTATGAAAGGATCATTTTAATATAGATATGAAAATATGAAAATATAAAAATCTCAGAACTGAGTGCACCGAGTAATCTGAAACATTGCCACGTGATCGTGGAGGTCCTAACGAAGGTCTTAAAACTCGCAAAATTTTATTGTTCGAAGAAGAAATTGTTCATTCATCTCGGAGGAGATTGAAATAAAAAAGAAAGGGGCTTCTTGGTTGAAAAATGAGATTTCCCGAGTTTCAAGTCCCTCGTTAGGACCTTCTCAATCACGTGGTAATGCTTAATATTATTCGGCGTATTCGGTTTGGAGAAAAGCTTCATGTCTTTTTGGACTCTTTCTCGTGGGACACTTTCATAACGCCTTAATATGGCGGCGCGGCGGAGACGACGATGTTTTACCAAGATACGGAGGGAAGACAGTAAATTTATTTATGGGGACTAGGATGGATGGAAACCGTCACTGCCATATATCACTGCCAACTGTCAGTGCCGATTTCTGACATGCAGAATTGACGAGTTCTTAAGGGCGTTCGTTTTCGTTCCTTCCTCGATTTCACTCTACAAGTGACTAGGATATCTCGCTCCGAGATTCCCGAATTTCCCGTCCTCTTTTCAGTCCAAGGAGGAGTTTTTCTAGTTGAGCCGATTTTGGGGAAGATTATCGAAATTCACTGCCACTCGATCTCCCATTAGGACTGCCAAAGAGCAGATTACAGAGACGAAATTAGGGTAGCAATTTAGTGTCGGTCCGGCCACGTACGAAAGCATTATTAAAGACCGCAAATGCTGGATTCCAATTGTTTTTCTTTCTTTTTTCCCCTTTTTCGAAAATCTACGCGAGAACGTGATTGTGGTACAGGTTTATTCATTTCGGTGTAATATTGTACGTATACCGTTTATTGTTAAATATTTACAGCCGATTGTGCGTCGCGCTGTGTCGTATCATCCAAGATGGCTGCCGAGAAATCTTAAAAATTAGGTAACGCGAAATTTATCGGAAAGTTATTATCATTCGAATGGTCGATTCCATTTACGAATGGTTAAGTAAGTTTGAAGCCAAATTTACTGATTAACTCTCGAACGTATTCCATGTCAGTCAACGCATTTAGCAGTTAAATTTATTGATAAGAGCGTTAGCAGTCTTTAATAATTATTGTCGGTGTGTTTCGTCGGGTTATTCAAATTTCATGAGTTCGTGCTGACGATGAGACGTACCCATCTCGATTTTAGGTAAATGACCATTGTACGGATCGTTGTGTTAATACTGCTGATTTAATTTAATACTATTTTTTAATTTGTCATTCTCGTTATGTTATATTTTTATAACCCCTCTCCCATCGAACCAGCCATTGGGCCTTCCCGTCCCTCGAAATGCATCGAAACTGCTAATTATTCTTTTTTTTTTTCTTCGGTGTTCAATTTCAATTTCAATTTCATAAATTTCATTTTGACCCCGTTCGTTCGTGTAGGATATAAATCTACCGAGAAACAGAACCATAAAAAATGGCGAATTACATTTTTTTTTGGTTTTTCCGGTATTTTGCAAAACGTGGGATGATAGGTAATTGGAACTGGCTTTCCGTTTTCCATTTAAAATAGAAAATGAAAAATGCATATTTGAAATGGGTTAATAGAAAATGAAAAATTCATTATTAATATTTCGTTCAGAACTTGGGAGAATTTGTGTATTTTAGTGAAATCTTTTATTTGAAAATACGAGCCAGGAAAAATTACGCTTTCTCGTTCTTATTTAAAATTGGAAATGGAAAATGGAATTTAATACCTTGCATACGCTGTTTTTAAATTAATTCAATTGAAATTCTTATTCAGCTCTGTAGGTAACTCATGCTTGATCTCGAGAAAATTTGATATTCCTGTTAAATAATTGAACAAAGTATGGAATTTATTTGATTTAAAGATTGTTTATACAGAGAATGAATCGACGTTTGGAAGAGTCATGAGATTCGGTGAAATTATATCATCGACGATAGACTGAAAATGACCCGTGGATGACAAATCGGAGATTCAATTTTCCAGTGTTCCTGTCATTTGTCGGTCGCATCTTTTTTTTTTAAGGTCGAGTCGGTAATAATTTCCATTTAGGGTGTAGGTAATTAAGGCTTATTTAGAATCCACGTCGGAAACGGGCTTAATCGTAATTCTTTCCACGAGATCATAATTCATAATTCACGATTGATAAATTCAACGTGAAACGTAGATGTCACTTGATTATCTCGAAAATTTTACATAATTAATGGTAACCCTTTTTTATAATATTCTCCTTAAAATAAATTAATGACCTGCCCAAGTTGCGTAATAGAAGATATACTCTCTAATTATATCCCATTAGATTTTCACCCATTGTGATTCCATAATTATCGAAGCTGTCAGAGGGTGATATTAAAATAAAAAGGCAACGAGGAAAGGGGCGCTAAATGTTGATTAACTAATTTATTTTAAAGTGTGATTTATTACGGTTTTCTTTGCTCTTCGCTCCCGTCGAATTTTCTGTCAAGAAACTGTCAAGCTAGATTGTCAATAGACACACACTGCCTCGCGTAAGCACACTGCCAACTTCTTAACAGTTTAATAATCTCGTAGTAAATCGTATTAAATAAATAGGCGACGAGGGACGTAAATAATGAGTAATGACATTCACTGAGAATTCATATTTCTCCACTGCCAGGCGTTACTTAATGTTTAAGATGACTATTTACAAGAAATAGGATTAATTCCCGGCTCGTAGGGACAGCCTTTAAGCTTTATCGTGAAATCACTTTTATTGTGAAATTTATTAGGAAACTATTGTGTTCCCGTAGCTGCCACGAGAAGTACTGTTATCGATATGCGAGCACACGTTCGACTCGATTCTCCTGTCGTGTTCAGTAATTAATTAATTTAAAAGTTAAGCTTAGTCGAAATTATCCTTAAATCAGTCCTAGGGACTTTCTTTTACGAGGTAAGAGTAGAGTTTTTAGTGCGTTATATTACCCGGGTAATATAACCGAGAATATAACCAGCGATTAAATTCTCCGCGAATCAATGAGAATTTATGGGAATTTAATTTTTTTTTTCAATGACATTCAAGTAGTTTTCAATCGTTTTAGGGAAGTATCAGTGATCGTTATACCGCGTGAAAGATTTTGATTGCGTTTCTGAAAATTTTACCTTTTTAGATTTCCAATACCGGAATTTTTCAATCGTTGTACAAGATAGAATTAATCGGGTAACCTAACCTCCTAACCTTTTGTACATCGTGAAATTAATAAAAATGGCTGCACAAACTGCGGAAAGTCTCTAGGGATGTTTAAATTACCGTAACATTCTCGGTTATATTACTCGAATTTGAAAACACTAGATAAGAGCATGGTACAAATTGTAGGTTAGTTCGACAATCATTAAATCGTGCCGATTCGCATCCAGACTCGACCAATCGCGACTTCTTCACTGCGAGCTTTTGTTTAAACAATTAACATCCACGAACGAACGGGGGTGGCCTATAAAAAGAGGGATTTTTGTGATTTTTTTTTTTGTGCACTAATACAAGGACAATAGATCAAGTAGACTGTAACTTGAAAATTCAAATTTTAGGATAGAAATCTTTTTTACCTTCGTACCGATTTTTATACATTTATTAGGAAAATCCATTGTGGGAGGATAAATGAGAAGCAACTTTTCCTTTTTCCTTCACTTACCATATTTCCAAGATGGCGTAATTATTCTGCCTTCTAATCTGCAATTAATTATCGAAATTAGGGAAAAAATAATTACAGCGGAGACGTTTCCTTGTTTTTTTTTTTCCAACATCCTTACCGAGAAAAAGAATTCATTTAAGCAAAGAAATATTCCGTTGACTCGATTTTACTCAAACTGAAATAAACGGTGGTAATTTTAAAGAAATGTTGCATCCAGTTTATTCGAGTTTATTCGAGTCAAGCAGTTATTCCCCGAATGATGAAAATATTCCATTGATTGAATGAAGGTTTCTTCTCGGTGCAGGGAAACGCATCTTTTCCAAAATTCGTTCTCCTTTGGAAAGGAAAAGAAGAAAATGGCGGTCTTATCTAGAATCGTGAAAGAAACTTCAAGGCCATTTGGAGTTTGACAAACGCGATTTCTGGGGGAGAGATTTCCACAATTTGTATCTAACGAGGGGAGGGAAATTTTGGGAGAGCTTGTGCGAGTGTGCGAGGAAAAGCGGAAAAGAAAACTGTCGCGACAAACGTAGTCTGAAGAGGAGCCTCGAATGCGCGGGAAATTTGAATCGCGCCGTCGAGTCCCTTCGTCGGATTTTCGATTTTCGAGAGAGAGAGAGAGAGAGAGAGAGAGAGAGAGAGAGAGAGAAAAGAAATAAATATAACGAATGCGTGTCGTTGATTCGTGCGTGTCACTTAGTATGTACCGAAGTAGGATAAAACCGTAGGACACCCTGTGTACATAGGATACCGACAAAGTTTAGAAAAGCGAGCGAAGCACTGTAAAATTTCCGACTTTTCGTATATGCAAAACAGAGTGAGTAAGGGGGACCGGAGGGAAGGCGGGATATTTTGGCGAAAGAGTAAATGCTAAAAATAGAGAGAGAGAAAAAAGGAGGGAATAAATAAATCACGCAGATACCTATACGAAGAAGAAAATAATTACCTAAAAATAGATATGAAAAAAGACGAAGCGACCGTTTCCGTATTTTTGCATTGAAAATTGACCGCGGCTCGTGGATCGAGGTTAATTATTCAGGGTGTTTCTTGAGATTATAAACAAAGATTAAGAAAAACTCGGCCCGCCATTACGCCATCCGGAAGGAGAGCTCGGCTTTCTGCTTGCTCTATTTTCAATACCTTCGTGCTTTCTTTTACTCATCCTCTATGCATTGGGAAATCATGAAAGCCCGATTCAATACTTCGAGACGACCTGAGATCGAATACGCGGAATTTTTCTCCGAAAGAAATAGGGAAAATGTAAATGAAAAAGAAGAGTTAACAAAATGGCTGGAAGGATCTTGAGTCGCGTTTCCATCGCATTGCATTCACATCTAGACTGGAGTTTTCCTGCCAGAACCGTTCCGAATTGAAAAAGGAAAATGTTAAATCCTTCCAATGAGAGCTGGGATCTTGTCGAACTTCTTTTTCTTCTTCTTTCCTGGCTTCGCCAATTTTCGGCGAATTTGGGATAATTATCGCCAATTTCCTGGCTATTATTGGTTGGAAGAAGATATTTACGGTTCTCGCAGGAAATTCCCATCGAGGCGAGTATTGTATAGAGTTCAATATTACGAACAGTCGAGTAAAGAGAAGGACGCTAGATTTTGTGAAATCCTAATAAAACGATATATTCAGATATGCTTTAATTTCATCGATCTGTCTCTATTCTTCCTTACATTTAAATCGGCCGTTTCGAACTGACGGTGGAGACTTCTTTACTGTTACTGTTTATTTCATTTCTCTGTTCCGTTCACTTCCGTTTACGTTTATTGTGAATTTTCGACGCTGTCGTTCGGACTTTTCAAAATGGCGGCCCGCGGCGTCGCATGGACAGGGCGCGAAAATTTGAAAAGAAAAGAAAAAGGACTCATGTACACGGGCGTAGGGTGAAAGACGAGGGTATGTACGAGGTAATTGACGAGAATAATGTTATTAATAAGAGCGAGCGACAAGTCTTGAGCTCGATTTCGGAGAACTCGGGCGAGCCATCTTTGCAAGATATCCACCTTATTTTTCGAAGGCTCATTCACGACTGTAAATACGATAATGCGAGTGCGCAAGGTATTAAGCGCATAGCTATAGCTATTATAAATGGTGTTTGCATTTATTATAAATTCTATGTAAAGTGCGGAATACCGAGGAACAGTGCGAGAGGAAGAGCGAGTCGCGTGCGTGGGAGAGAGAAACGACGAAATTCGAGTTTTCGGCAGGATCGAGAAGAAACCGCGCGAAATTTGAAAAGCGAATCTTAAAGACTCGGAATTTTCATGGAAAGTATCCCTCCATTTTTTTTCCCTTAACCACGAATCCGTATACTGAGAAAAATCATTCATGGAGACGAAGAATTATTTCTTTAAATAATACCTAAGGAATATTTTGTTCATCCAAAGAATAATTACTTCATTTGAATAACCTGAAATAAATGGTCACTTCCGGAGAAACGTTGAAATCCAATTTCATCCAGTGAAATTTTTTGAATCAACAAAATATTTTATTCTTCTTTTTGTACTATTCAAGGAGATATTCAGAGATAATGACAGTTTTTTCCACCAACGTACGTTCTAACCTTACACGGAAAAATATTGATGGAACTTCTTATTCGGCGGGATTTTCTTTTCCAATTTTCTGAAATTCGAATTCAAATCTCGCGCGCTTTTTTCCTATCGGCGGAAGGCTCGAGACGATCTCTAGTTAGGAAACGCTTGTACCGATACCGTATAAGATGGTAGAGAGAATTATTACATAGATCGACTGTACGATTAGCGATATAGAGGGACGAGGTGTGATCGAAAAAGGGAAAAGAAAAGCAGGAAACGGTACGGCCGAGATCGAGGTTAGGATCGGGACGAGAGATCGTGCGAAAGGGCGCGTTTTGATCGAGCGATTGATCTGGAAATGGATCTACAGGGCGATCCAGAAATGGAAAAACGAATCAACCGCCTTGAATCGCCCTCTGGCGACTTCTTCGAGGTTCGAAATCCTCGAAGGGAGCCTTTGCGACCTCAACTTCCGGATGAATTGAACTGCACGCAAATTTGTGCAACTTCCGGAATCATCATAACGAGACGGGCGCTCAAAAGTGCTCGCGAAAATCGGCGAAAATCGACAAAAATCAAGTCATTGGAATTTATACAATCATCGGAATAAAGCTAATTCCCCTCGTTTCACCCAATTTGGCCCCGGTCGAGGATTTACTCGCCTTCGCGAATAATGACATTATCATTAAAAAAAAAAAAACATCTCCCTATCCTTCCACAGTGAGACAAAACGCTCATCGAACCGGAGGAATATATTCATAATTTAAGGAATAATTATTTGACTCGAATCTACTCAAATAAATTGCCACAGTTCCGGTGAAACTTTGCGTATAATTTATTCGAGTTTCCGCCAAGTAATTATTATTTCAATTAAGATATTTCTCTGGTTCGATGAAATGCTTTCCCTCGGTGCACCCGATTCGGTATCGATTGCGGATATCTTCACATTGTCACGAAATTATTTCCGCGAGACAAGGAAATTGCCAGAATCGGCGAAATTGCCATCGGACGACGTGAAATTGAAAATTGGCTGCAGGATATGGAGAATTGTTGTTTTCATTTTAATTAAGATTGCTGATTTCGCGGTCATCTTGGGGCGCCCGTTTTCTATTTTTTTTTTTTTTTTCTTGGTTTCCGATCGAACGCCGCGGCTCTCCGAGTATTCTCTGTACGCGTGTGTACCTAGCCTAACTCAATATAATGATTTCTTCACACTGCCAAATCCGACCACAGCTCGAGCATCCAAAAATCACTCCTGTTCCCAATTGGCCATTCGTTTCGATCGCGACTTTAAGGTGAAGTGAAACATCCTTCAAATCAGTCGATTCGAATACAACACTTTTTTTTTAAGGGTATTAGACCAAACTGTCCGAAACTTTGATACGTCACTCCTGATCATCTAACAATTGTCCCGACACATTCAAAATTTGAATTTTTCAAAAGAATTTTTTAACTCAGCCCAGACCAGAACCAAAATGGCGTCGATCTCTCATATTTCGATCAGTATACAATTATTGAAGGCTCTGATATGAGAATTGAAAGGGTCAGGACAATTTTACGACAATTTAGAACACTCTGGTAATCGATAAACTCACATTTGAACGGGATAAGGGCAAAAAAAGTGTTGTATGCGCTTCTTTGCTAAAACGATGGTAATACGAGGTCTCGGAGTGAAAATTTAATTGACCTGGAATTCACAGATGGCGCAAGGGGTCCCTCCGCAGTCAATTAGGGCCCCAGAAGGCACGAATCCAGAGGATTTCTGGAGTTTTACTTCGATTTCTTTATAATTATTGTACGAAAACGACAGGTGGAATATGCCATTTGGTACGATACACAATATATTTCGACCCAGCTGCCAATATAAAAACGAACGTCGTCAACGTAGGCATTTAGAAAAATCTTCTTTATCGACGTTGATCAAATTCTCCGACGTGTTTCACTTCACCTTAATGGTGTGACCGTAATGACGGAAATGATGAAAAAACAAAAATTTTTTTTCCAAAAATGTCTCCAGATCTCGATTTCGCGCACTGAGAAAAAGAAATTCGTTGAACCAAAGAAATATTTCTTTAAATAGTACCAAAGAAATATTTGGTTAATTTCTAGAATAATTATTCGAGTGAAATAATTATTTTTCTAATTAACATGCTGTACCTTTTTGGTACTGTTCGAAGGATTATCAATTTGGTTCAATGACATTCCTTTTCTCAGTTCGCTAATCTTCAGAGATTTCGAAAAAGGATCTACCTAAAATTTGAAAATAGAAAATATTTAGAACAATTCATGACTCAATTTGCTATCGCGATTGTTCCCGACACATGCCATTGACATTCCTCTCGTGATAAGAACTCTCCATCATGTTATCATTGGCCATATATCGCATTCAAGATAGATACGATGCGATTTGTGATTCACCGAATGGAAAATCTAACGCAAAACGTCGGTGAAAATGTCCAAATTGGAAGTCTAACTGAGAACATTCCATACACAAAATTTGAATGTTCCTTTTGACCCTCTTGGAATGGATTAGTTAATTAATATTGTTAAGTAACGGGTGATGGTGTTGTCATTAATTCTGAACGTGGTCACATTCTCACACCCGGACTATTTGAAATGAGCTTATCCGCTTAATCGCGAGAGATATCGAAAAATGCCTTAGACAAAAGTTATTCGAGGCATTGTTTGGAGTAACTTTTGTTGAGGCGACTTTTTTGTATTTGATACCGTTTTCGGCGCAATTGTATCTTTTTCAAGGGAGGGAACGACGGGGGAGGACGGTCATGGTATGTCGCGATCGAAACGTTAAAAATTTACGAGCGCTCGAAATCTTTCTTTGTCAAGTCAAGATAATTTCGAAATGTCGGTCTTCATTTGTTTCGTTCTCGATTGACATGTTTTGTATGATTTCGGAGAGCTTTTGTTCCGATCGATTCTGGAGCAATCATCTGCCAGCGCTTTTCTGAGGGAGACAACCCAGACGATGCTGAGGTAATGTTGCAACGAATTATATTCAATTATTGTTAATCTTCTCCCCTGGAACTTAAGAATTACCTGAGGTAAAGGGTTTCACATGGAAAAGCGCGAACAGAAATGTCGTA